CCTCGGGCTTCCTGTAGTCAGCCGCTGGTCAGTTTCAGCAGCGGCTGAATCTGGACGCCAGTTCCGACTTACATACAAATTCAACTTAAGAACAAACCTACAGTCCCTATCTTGTACGTAACCCGGGGACTGCCTGTATTTCTGTAAATAATTCCCCATCCTGCAACCACTGAAGTACCCACTTTACTTCTCTATTATTTCCTCGGGCTTCCTGTAGTCAGCCGCTGGTCAGTTTCAGCAGCGGCTGAATCTGGACGCCAGTTCCGACTTACATACAAATTCAACTTAAGAACAAACCTACAGTCCCTATCTTGTACGTAACCCGGGGACTGCCTGTATTTCTGTAAATAATTCCCCATCCTGCAACCACTGAAGTACCCACTTTACTTCTCTATTATTTTATTGTATGAACAAATATTTGACATTTTACTGGTATATTTCTACTTCTGATCACATATTTTGGTGTCACAGTTTCTTTGGCTGTGTCTACACTGGCATGAATTTCCGGAAATGCTTAAAACGGAATACTATTCCGTTTTCAGTTTTTCTGGAAAAGGAGCGTCTACATTGGCAGGCTGCTTTTCTGGAAAAGCCCTTTTTCCGGAAAAGCGTCTGTTGCCAATGTAGACGCGCTTTTCCGGAAAAGAGCCCCGATCGCCACTTTCGCGATCGGGGCTTTTTTCCGGAAAAGACTACTGGGCTGTCTACACTGGCCCTTTTCCGGAACAGTGTTCCGGAATAAGGACTTATGCCCGAGCGGGAGTAGAATAGTTTTTCCGGAATAGCGGCTGATTTTGTACAGTAGAGCATCGTTGCTTTTCTGGAAATTCAAGGGCCAGTGTAGATAGCTCACAGCTTATTCCGGGAAAGCGGCTGATTTTCCGGAATAAGTGGCCCAGTGTAGACACAGCCATGGTGTGCTACATTTATTATTATAATACATTCCAATGAGGTTTTTCACTGTGACAGTCCTACAGTTCTGTATTGCCAAATCTAGGTTTTTAAAATGAATTCTCTCTTATTTTTAAGGGTCCAGAGTAGAGATGTAAGGGGCTAGCCAAGTTATCATCTAACTGACAAGTATATGCTCATGGGCTAGTAAAGTCAATACTCAACTAGTCGCTTCCCTCCCACTTTCCAGCTCAGCAATGGGCAATTTTGTAAAAAACAACAGAGCTTTGTGCCTGGGTAGCTGGGCTAAGTGTAATGGCTTGTGCCACAGAAGGGGTCAGGCTGCATGGCTAACATTCCCATGGATATTGTGAATCTATGAAATTTAGGGTCTCATCCTGCAAACACTCACCACACGTGCTTAATAATAAACATTTGACTGGCATTAACTTCACTTCATCTCTGTTGTGGGGAGGGGCTATAAAGTCTCTGTTGGTTTAGTCTTTATGAGATGGCCTGAGTCTGTGCTACAAATATATGGAGGAAAATAAGATATTTTAGCTTCAGGAACTTAAGTTTAGACACCAGTATCCATGTTCAGGCAGCATAACTAGAGTCTTCTTTCTTGAAAACACTAGCCACTCAGATCTGAATCCCAGTGTTCCAGGCGCAGTAATGTAACTCAAGCCAGGTACTGAGAGAAATGAATGTGGATTTGGGAACTAACTTGTATGTGGTGTTTATGGAATAGCTTGATTCAGCATTTGCCCACAATGGCAGAGTCTAGCATGTATATCAACAGGGTCAGACTCTGGGCAGAATGGGGGTGTGCAAAGGGTTAAAGCCCCTTCTGACATGTCTCCAATTGCCCTTCTCCCTCTGCCAGGCTGCAGAACATCCATGTCTGTCTCCAGCTCAGACCTTAGCCTGCAGAGCCAGGGAGAGGAAATGACCATGGTGGAGCCGCTGACCTTTGAGGAGGTGGCTGTGTATTTCTCTGAGGAGGAATGGGCTTTTCTGGACCCAGGCCAGAGAGCCCTCTACAGGGATGTGATGCAGGAGAATTATGAGGCTGGGAGATGGCTGGGGAAGGATTCCTGTCCCCTTGGGTATCAGAAGATGGGTGGGATCTAGAGCAGCTGGATTGGGTTATGTTCAGGGTCCCACATTGCCTCTGCTCCCAATGTCAGGACTATCTGCCCCAATAATCCTGGCTCCTGTGTGACAGACTGTCCCCTCCATGAGGAAGCAGGTTCAGGGACATAATGATGCTGCTCTTCCTATAGCCAGGGTCTCCATGTGCTTCCCACCATCTTGCCCTTGTTGTCCTTTGGCCAGAGGTCTTAATGGAACTGCCCAGGCCAGCGATGTGAGTGGAAGGGCCCAGGCAGGAACGGCTGATACAAGAGTTGTGGGGCTGGGTGCAGTTACTGTTAGTGCCTGTAGGGTCCCCTTGTGCCAGTGGGCTGAGCCCCTGGAAGGAAGGCGCCGACTCAGAGTCCTTTCCTGCCTCTGGTAGATTCTGTGCAGCCGAGAGGGGCACGAAATGGCAGGCAAAAGTGGCCACAAGAGGAAGGCTGGGAAACCACATAAAGGCTGCTGCTGGCAGAGTAGAACCGAGGTTGCAGTGGGGGAGCTGAGCTACAGGAACACCTACAAGCACCGGAGAAGAAGCACAGCTCATCTCCACCTTGGTCAGCCACAGGAACAGCCCAACACTGCCCTGCCCAGCTGCAGGAACAGCCCGACACTGCCCTGGTTGGCCGCGGGAGCGACAGCTGTTGAGTGCAATTAGGAGGTCCGGCCCACCCAAGCACAGTCTGTCAGGATCAGGAGTGTGGAGCATAGGCAGGGCCTGAAACAGCCAGCCAAGGGTTCATTTTGCTGCTCATACAACTTCCTCTGCCTCCTTCTGGCCCCAGTAGAGTGTCTGAGCCAAAGAGCAGGGCGAGCTGAGCCCCCCAGCCAGGAGCTTTGTGGACAGAGCCCTTGGGGAGCTAGAGCTCTGTTGGGTCCTTCCTCTCCAAGTCTTAGTGACCTACCATGTGGCAGCTGCAATCTGAGCCCTGGGGCCTCAGTGTCAGACGTGCCAGCCCTCACTAGAGCTCCCCTTCTGAGCAGTCTGTTCCTGTCCTGCCCTGGGATAGAGGAGATACTCTCCTTCACAGCCCATTCTGAGTTGTACACTAGAGAGTACAGCAGTGTTCTTGAGTCCTCTAGGGAATAAGTTGGGCCATTCCTAAAGTAGGGGGATGCACCTTTACTGCAGGTGAGTGTGCCCTTGGATCTTGTACAAGCCAGAGCCCAGTCTCTGCAAGGTGGGGAAGGAGTCTCTCGGGGTGGGTGACTCAGATCTTGGTTCTGCAAGCAGTAATGGCACAGACCTTAATGAACAAGATCAACTCTTGTTTAATTCCACCGCGAGCAGGATTTCCAGTCTCCACACCTCATATGATCTCCTGGGTGGAGCAAGGGGATGCATTGTGGATCCCAGCTCTCCAGGGTTGTGAGAATGGGAAGATCATGACTGACACCCACACAGGTGAGCAATCAGCTAAACTTATTCAGAAGCTAATTTCTGTGTCCTCAGCATTTTCATTAAGTCTCACTGACCCTTCAGCCTGTCTTCAACTCCAGTTAAAGGGTGCTGGGTGGGAGACGGCTGGTTTCTCTCCTTTGGGAAAGGGTTATCGGGAAGGAGGGTAAACTTAGCTCATTGTTATTATACCTTTCTAGCCATTCTTTCTGTGTGTTCCTCCTTTTCTATTTCTCTTTTAGAATTTCCTTTCAACTCAGCACAGGGAATGATTTCTGACTGGATTCTCTCTGTATCCCAACAGGTGATGGGACGTTGAGTGAGAACCACAAGAAGAGTTTTCTGCAGGAAGGACTGGAGCAAATGGTTCCACGTGGAATGTTATTGGGAAGATCTGAAGGGCATGTTTCTCAGAGTCCTGAGCAAGGAAAGGCCTGTAAGAGTCAGCGTAGCCCACAAAGACGGCAGGGAAACCATCCAGGAGAGGGTCAGGGTAAATCCAGTCACAGAAGCAGGTTGAACAAAAACAAAGAAACTGTGCAACAGAAAATCCCCCATCAACAGTCACCCTGCGCTTGCAGTCACTGTGCAACTCTTATTAAACGTGGAAGAGCCCACACAGGGGAGAAACCCTTTAGCTGCTCTGACTGCGGGAAAACCTTCAGTGAGAGTTCAGGCCTTGTTGCACATAGGAGAACCCACACAGGGGAGAAACCTTTTAGCTGCTCTGACTGTGGGAAGAGCTTCAGTCAGAAGTCACACCTTGTTAGACATGGGAGAACCCACACAGGGGAGAAACCCTTCACCTGCTCTGACTGTGGTAAAAGCTTCAGTCAGAGGTCACAGCTTCCTAGACATAGGAGAACCCACACAGGGGAGAAACCTTATACTAGTGGTGGGCAAAAGTCTCTCAAAGGGCAGAATCCAGCCCGTCTAGGGTTTTGATCTTGCCTATAAGGGAGTACTAGGCCCCACCCTCTAGCAGACATGATGCAAGGGAAGGAGCTCAATCCTGCTCCTCTTCCCACTGTGCAGCCATTGGAGAAGAGGCAGTGCTGGGGCTGCAGCTTCACCACATGACCTGGGGCTGGTCCCGGAGGCTGGAGGCACTGCTGCTACTGCACCTCTGGCCTCCAAGGCCGGCTCATGGCCACAGAGTCTTCTGTTTCTGGGGTCATGTAGCTATTGCAGGGGTGCCTCTGGGGCTGGTTCTGGGCTGCATGGATGTGGCAGAGGCAACTCTGGCATGGACCATGTGGCTGCAGCAGCGATGCCTCTGGCTTCCAGAGCTGACCCACCACTGCACGACTGTGGCAGTGTTTATGAGGGTTAGCCAGCAGCCTGGGGATTAAGGAGTTAACTACACCTAGCCAGGTGGAGTGACCAGTAGGAATGTAGGTAGGACTTTCAAACTGGGACAAAGGAATTTGGGTTTTTTCCTTTTCTCTCTCTGAGAGAGTCCTCTGCAGCTACAGGGAGGGACAAGCATGTCTCTCTCTTTAAGAAACAATTCTTCACTTTCTGTAAGTAGGGTAAGGTTTAGGTAGTTTCGTTAGGCTTTATTGTTTTAAGGGTTGGGTATGGGACCTGATATCAGGCACTGCTTAAGAGATGTTTGGCTTTTCTTTTTAACTAAGTTCTAGCCCATGGTGTAATTCCTCTATGGGTATATTTTGTTACCTTTCCATCTGATCCTTATGCTTGCAACAGGAATATTGTTGTAATAATAAAGGGTTTCTCTTTTCTTTTTAATAACCTGGCATTGGTTACTTGTGTATCCTGATTTTTATAATAGGGGTGAGATTTCCCAAATGATCTTTCCCCTAATCTCGTTATTAATATTTGGGTGGTGGCAGCAGAAGTTTTATTCCCAAAATCAAGGTTTTTTAGATTTTGGGGGAAGTTTTATACCAAAGCCTGGTAGATAAGGCTTTGGGGTGCACTTGCTGGCCCCCACTTCTGCATTTATCATGCCAGAGTGGGGAAGGAGCCATGACAGTGTCTCTAGCCTGCGGTGTCCTCCGGGGCAACTGGGAAAGTGTGGTTTCAGATGTTGCTGTAAGGGGGTACGAAGCCAGGTACTATTCTTCCTTCATCTGAAGACCCCGCCCCCAATTCCAATCCCCTCACTTCCCTCCCCCCAACACCCAGCATCCCCAGCTTGCTCTGACACCCTCCCTTGTTCTTACACCCTCTCTCCTGGCCACACACTGCACCCTCTCTTGTTCCTGCTCCATCTGGCCAGACACCCTATTCCCAGCCTGCTTCTGCAACCCAGCTCCCTCCAAGATCCTGCATCCCTTCCCTTTCCTACTTGTTGGCAGCCTTACCTCACACAATGTACCCCTCATTTTTGTCCCTACCCCTGAGCCTAAGAAGATCCATAAAGTCCACTAACTCTGGAACCCCAGAAAAGTAAATCTGGTCTATAGGAAGTCCTGAACCTCAGTGCCCCCCCTTCCCTCACTCTATGAGGCTGGGGCCTCAGAGGAGTGAGGTGTCTCAGTTGAGATCACATCAATGAGCACTGGAAAGTTTTGGAGGATTTTTTTGGTTTCTCACTTGTGTGGTCCCCAACTGATTTTTCTGTGGCTCAGTGACCTCCCAATCAAAAAATGGTTCTCCATCCTTACCTTAAATAAAGAAAACATTGAAACCTTTTGTGTTGGACATAATGTTTTACTCTCTTTAAAACTAGCAGAAATATCCAGTGTCGCCCAGGGAAAATATAGTAAAAGGTGTGATGAATGAACTATGTCAATGACATTAACATAGCATATTTTATTGGAAATACTTTTCTCTCATATATTACTTGAAAAATTAACATACTAGTGATGTGCTTACAAAATGACAAATCCCATGGGGTCTCTTTTCTCAAACCCCACAAATCAGGAAGGCCCATTTTCCCTTAAGGGCTCTTTGCCTGTAACCTCCTTGCCAGAAGCCTTGAGAAATGGAAGGGATGTCTCCTGGGCTCTGCAGCAGCAGCAAATCACTGCTCCCCAAGTAGCCACTCCCCAAGTGCCTTCAGTGCACGCTATATGGGGGAGCCTGAATTGACTTCCTAGCAGTAGCTGGACTGGTTACATTGATCAGACAAAGCAAAACACCTTGGCTACATCTAGACTGGCATGATTGTCCGGAAATGCTTTTAATAGAAAAGTTTTCAGTTAAAAGCATTTTTGGAAAAGAGAGTCTAGATTGGCATGGACACTTTTCCGCAAAAGCACTTTTTGCGGAAAAGCGCGTCTAGATGGGCACGGACGCTTTTCCGCAAAAAAGCCCCGATCGCCATTTTCGCGATCAGGACTTTTTTGCGGAAAAGCGCGTCTAGATGGGCACGGACGCTTTTCCGCAAAAAAGCCCCGATCGCCATTTTCGCGATCAGGACTTTTTTGCGGAAAAGCGCGTCTAGATGGGCACGGACGCTTTTCCGCAAAAAGTGCTTTTGCGGAAATTCAAGCGGCCAGTGTAGACAGCTGGCAAGTTTTTCCGGAAAAGGGCTGATTTTCCAGAAAAAGTTGCCAATCTAGACACAGCCCTTCAGACCAGGTGCAATTAGTGATATCTAGGTGATCAGAACATGCAGCACCTGAATGTACCTGCTCTAATGAGAACAGGCTTTTCTGAGTGTATTGTGTCCTCCTCTGGCTCCACAGTGTTCAAAACCTTGTCCACCTCCTCTTTGTACTGTGAGCTGAATCCTGCAAAGTGCATAATGCCTGTGAGCACTTGCTGATAGCGCACACAGCCCAGGAGGGGTTCAGTCAGAGCCCAGCTGCATGAAGATGTTGAAAGGCTGTGATAGCTGGAGGATTCTCCCAGCCACAATTAGCAAGGCTAGACCCCAGCCAGAATCAGACACATTTGGGTCTGTCTTGGAGACCTGCTGGTGCCCTAGTAGAGGGGAGGCTGCTGAATTTCTGCCCCACTCTCTCCCCCATGGGCTTTCCCTTGATGGTTCTGCAGGTGCCCACATGCTTTATCTTCTAGGCTCTTGTAGTTCCAATTTATGTGACATGCTTAACAGAAGAGTCCAGCAAATTCCTATGATTGGGCGCTACTAAAAGCTAATTATCAGTGGGTCCAATTGGAGCTCTGGGGGAACCGATTTCCAGATATAACCAATTCATTTATTGAAGTTAGGAAATCAGTAGTATCCATTCAAAATTTGGTGTTTCTAGCTCTTATCATTTCGAAGATCTTTCTGAATTATCAGTGGGCCCATTTGGGACTCTGGGGGAACCGATTTTGAGATATAACCATTCTAGTTATTTAATTTTGGAAATCAGTAGTTTTAGTGTTTCTAGCTCTTACCATTTCGGAGATCTTTTGGGACAAAGAAACAAACAAACTTTCAGAAATATTTATAAGATAAGATTACAGGTGATATAAAAAGAAAAGGCAAGAGATGGCTTACAACGTCCCTTTGGCTTGCTGAGGACTCCGACTCAGCAAAGGATGGACTCCTGGGCCAGGTCCAAAAGGCACCTCTGTACAGATCCAGGTCCTTCGGGAAATCTAAAGGGTGTTGGCAACATTAAACAATATATAGCCTGTGCACAAAATTCTAGATGCTACAACTAATTATGAGCAAGGAAGAAAAAACCCAAAACAAACATATGCCCGTTTGAGAAGACTCACACAGACAGGCTTGTTTACCTCTAAGCTTATCTCAACTATGCGATGAGCTCAGCCATCTCTCTAACGAGCTAGCTAGCTGGGAATTTTCCTTGCTAACAGCAGGCCAAAGCCTGTTTTCTAGTTTGCAGACAAGAGAACTGGGAAGATTCACTAACTCCTCTAAATACAATGGTCTTCCAGTTTTCTAACCACAACACAAACTCCTCAGGTGAACTCACTGGTAAATATAAGCCTTTCAGCAAGTCCCTGGACTCTAAAAGGCAGATGTTCAGGGACAGGCAAAAAGTCAGAGGAGTTACCATAAGTCTTGTGCCTCTCCTGCTGGGCACCACCTAGACTGAGCAGTTATTTCTCATCCCACTGGATCCAGCATCCTAAATGTACTGACCTAGAACAATGTTTTCTCATCTCCTGCCCCTTCGTACCTCTCCTCTACTTATGCTACATTAGCAACAGCTTCATCATACAGACTTACTGGGAGGGGACCCTTGAAGAATTCCACTAGGGTATGAACAATTTCCTCCCCACCATCAGCCTCAGCCTGGGCCCATCCACACAAGAGATCCCCTTCCTGCACACAACAGTGCCAATCACTGACGGCCACATGAACACCAGCATATACTGGAAATCTACTGTCCCCTCGTCTTACCTACATGCCTCCTGCTTCCATCCAGGACACATCACACAACCCATTATTTGCAGCTCGGCCCTAAGATCCGATTGGCTCTGCTCCCATCCCCCAAACAGACACACCCACCAGCTCTGTATCAAACTCTCTTAACACTGAAACACCCCCCCCCCCCCTTGGGGACAGGAGGAAATAGCCTGTCAGAGCCAGAATAGCACCCAGAAGCCACCTGCCGCAAGACAGGCTTGACACAGAAAATAACAGAACCCCACTGGTCATCCCCTCCATCCCCCCCCAGCTCAAACCCCTCCCACACACCATTGGCACCTGGCTACCTAGACTGGAACATGGCCACTCCCTCGCACAGGCCTTGGGAGACAGGCTAGTCCCTGCCCACAGAGAGCCCCCAACCTAAGCACATGTTTACCAGCAGCTGCACATTGCAGCAGAGCCGCCCAGCCCATCAACAGGGCAATCGACAGGGCAAGGATGCTGCAGCAGAGTGCTGTGTGTTGTGTCACACATGATATCACAATGCTCTTGTGCCTGCAGACACACCCCTAGGCATGTCCCCCTGAGGCTGGAACAGGTAACAATATGGAGCCAAATTGACCAAATCAGGTGGGAAGGTCATGGGAACAGAAGTGGCACTTATAGACTGTGCCACCTTGTACCGGGGAGTGCGGGAGTATCTGTCACAAAGGGATTTACAAACTAGAATTCATGGGTCCTTACAGCTGCCCTGCTGGGGGTCCGGGCAGAGAGCTGGAGAGGATGCCTGGGCTGTGTTGGCCACATGTCTGTGGGCAGTACCCTCTGTGAGCTGTGTGCTTGGGTGGCTATTTGGGAGAGATTCAAACTCCTCCCAGCTGATTAGCTGGGGTTTCTTTCTCTTGGTGGTGCACATTTCTCAGTGCAAATGATACAAATATTCTGTACATGGATGGAAACGCTTAGAGGGAATATTGTCTGTGGCTGTCTAGCAGGCCAAGCGAGGGCTGTTCACTGTGAGCTGTGCCAGGGAGTCTGCATCAGTGCAGTTGGGCCTCCTGAGCTGGGCCTGCCCCTGGGTTTGTTGGGATCCCCAACAGGGTGTCTCTTCTGCAGCATGGTGCTTGTTCTGCGGGCTCACTCCTATC